CCACAACAGCTATTCCCACTGCAATGTATGATTCTTCCTTCACCAGCAGAACATGCTATGAATATCACTCTCCATCCATGAACGTTCAATTATTATTTCCTTTTCTTATCATATCAGCAATAATCTCACAACCATTCATAATCTTTTCACCCGAGATGAATATTTTTACACGCTTAATAGGGTATAGAATTCTTCATCGCATAGATCCATTTGTCTGACCAAATCTGATGACACCGGAACCTATATTCCTTGCAAAATATTTCCCCAAGGTAAAATTCCAATGAGCGTTCACTTTCTCACTAAATGTGCATATGGAATTTCCAGATGCAAGCCCTTGTTACTGACAAGCATAGAGTATCTGGGCGTGACTTCCAAATTTTTGCTGGTCCATATATCTACCCCTACCCAGAACCTAAAATTAATATTGCCTAACTCATTCTTATTTCTTTTCATTTTATTTGTTTTTATCTAGGTATATACTCTTACTTGGGCATCTAAGAAAAACGGCATGAAAAATACACATTCAGCAAATAAATTCACGCGTTTTTTTACGGCTTATCAACACTTTGCCGGTTCTTTAAGGCCAGATTTTATTTTAGATTGCAATTCTTTTGTTTTTTGGCAATACCTTAGTGAAACAAGTATTACTAATTAACCCATATCTGGGGAGAATAGGTGGATTCATACCTTCCCCAATGGTATTTGCGTGTAAATATAACGAACCCAACCGGAATTGAAACTCGGCTATCCGATTAACAATTTTGTGCCATTATCCATTACCACCCCGGCACATCTCTGCTTGCGGCACCTGGTATTATCAAATAGTCACTCATGTATGTACTGACAAGTCTCGTCGACGTTGCTTAATTTCGGTGATCGTACAAGAATCGGTGTTTAAACGTGATATGTCTGTAAGGCACTTTTGCCAATTAAAAAAATAAATTTAAAATACTTAATACCATTTTAAAATATCAAATAGACAGAACCATTTTAAAATGAAAATCAAAATATATATATATATATATATATATATATATATATATATATATATATATATATATATATATATATATATTCAATTGTGCACTGTTGAACGACAAGCTAATTTTAAAAACAACGGTCACCTGCGTGAACCGGAAGATCTTCAGTAAAATGAATGGAGCACTTTGGCTGCTTGGTGTTTGTTTACGTTTGTAAAAACAATACGCTAGTTTTGGCTAATTGGTTTCGTCACGAGAAGATGGTTCAGTGGTAGACGCTCTAACTGATACCCCATCGGTTGGGTTTCGACCCGTGATTGAGGCATTTGGTTGTCTAGCCCCGCTGACGACGTGTGATACAGCGTAACAGTACTGTCTGCGAATGACACACACACATATATATATATATATATATATATATATATGTAAGAAAGATGGAAAATGAAAGACTAAGTTGAAAACATCGTGCACCTTTACATTTTCATTGCACTAAAATGTTCAAGTTTTAATTTTTTTGGATGTGTATGCTGATTTAATAAGCGTAACTTAGATGTGACACAAGGCCTAAAGTAGTAAGCACCCATTGAGAATCGAACTCACTAGACAGTTGCAATAGCTCTTGTGAGATAAGTTTGCTAGCCATTACAACACGTCGAAATGCCCTTGATTTACTAAGCTTAGCTGAAATGTGGGACAAGCTGTAAATATGTGGCACACGGTGCGGATCGGACTCACTAGTCAGTCGTAATAGATCTAGCGAGAAATTCTTGCTAATCATTACAACACTTCAAAGTACCCTCGATTTACTAAAATTAGGTGTGGCACAAGGGGAACAGTACGGAGCATCCAGTGAAGTTGTAATTGATCGAGCATTACTTGTTAACCATTACACCACGTCGACTGCCCATGTGTTTTTCTATATAGTCTAGCTAATTTTATTTAGCTTTTTTTGTTGTTATTTTGTTGTGAAATTTTTTAAAATAGTTGCGCATATTCTGTAATATCTATTTTTGTTATGTCATGAAATATGGTTTTATTTTTATTTTTTTTATTGACTTGAATAGCTCTTAGGGTTAAATAAAATTAGACATTTGTTTGTTTGTTTTTTCTTTGGGGTGTTTCCTTTTAACAAGAGGACCTTGTCGAGCAAGAGGACAAATGTCCAGCGACAATTTAACTGCAGAATTAACCGGATGACTGGACAGATATTAACAGAAAATGTTTTTTTTGTATATTAGAGATTAAATTGTACTGGTCTACAGTGCAATTTAGGTGTAGGATAATGGATATTATATTTTGGTGTGAGATAATGGATACATTTTAAAGACACTTTTGGGACGTTGAGTCTAAATGTGAAGTTTTTTTTTTTTCTGATTATCTCCACATTTTGATGTACAGAATTTAAGAATTAAATAATGACTATTTAAAAACTATATTTTACATAAGATACAAATGAATTCTAAATGACTCCTAGGTAAAAAAAAAAAAGATAGTTAATGTGTTCTTGACGGGTCAGAAACCTGATATTTATATTATGATAACGTAGGTACCTTCAATAATTCGCTGAAAAAAGAGGATATCCTGATGAAAAGTTGAATCTTGATAAAAACAAAGTTTTATCATCAATATTTATGCTATTATTAAGAATAAAGATCACAGTATTCGTTGATTATTTTATTCAATTTTTTTTTAATCCTTTCTAACACATTCGAAATTTTGGTTTGCGTTAGCGCGCAGCACGGATTAGTATGAGAAATTTTAGTGTCTTTTTGTTTTTCTCGGTAAAAACACACTAATTTGGAAATACTTGAAAAATCAAATAATTGTCGGATTTTAATGAAACTTTTAGAATTTATCCACAAATAAATTAAATCATCTTTGTTGCCATATTTATTACAACGTTTCAGCCGTTGTACACTCCGGCCTTCTTCAGGTGGTTGGAATGTCAAACTGAATCCTTTAGTTCGCTCACCGGGGTAGACTGTTCTACTTCCACGTGCCATGTTTAATGGATATCAGTTATCAGTTATTTTCTGTTAATTTCCCTCTGAAAGTTCTCCACTGCCTTAGCCGGGTATTGAACTCACATTCTTTGGGTCCTGTCACTGGATCTAACTAACGCTTTTATCCACTGTGCCATGTGTCCTTATTTTTCTGTTAATAAATAACTTCGAGTCACGGGTTCAATTCTTGGATTAGTTTGTGTGGAATTTTTGTCGATATAGTTGAATAATAAGAAATTGCAGTAAGGATTTCGAAAAAAAAATCTACGAGTTCAATGTCATCGAACATTCGATTTGACAAAGGAAAAGAAATAATAGAGACCGATGCCATTTGACAAAACATGCATTAAAATTCCCAGATGGGATGAAAGTCTGGAATTTATTATCTGGAAATACAGTAACAAAAGAAAAAGAATAAATATAAGGTAGCTAGCCGAAAACCAACAAAAAACAAAACAATTTGGATGGTAATAATTGCTTGCAAAAGGTAGGTTGTGACTTTGATGGTCAATGAAAAGCCGACAGCGTTTTCTACCTCTCAACCTATCATGGACGTTGCAAAGTGGACTTGTTTAAATTGCCAAGACGGAGAGGGCATAGCTGCATGACCAATCAATGGCCTGTGAGAAGTGGAACGTTTCCTTAAAATGTGGCCTAATGGCAAATCTCCTTTTTGAATCGTTAACAACGTATATGTATGAAGTGAAGTCTAAATTACTAAGGTCGAAAACCCATTTCCATATCAATCAACGGTTTCTTGATATTCTATAATACACTTAGGTTTCGATTGAAAATATGAGGAAGTGGAGAGACGCAGAGAGAGAAAGTCATAGGCTAAAAGGGAGAGATTATGTTTCTATACTTTGAAAACAGAGGGGTGTGTTTCTATACTTTGAAAAAATCAAATAATTGTCGGATTTTAATGAAACTTTCAGAACTTATCCACAAATAAATTAAATAATTTTAGAAACTTTTTATAGGAATTCTTGATAGAAATATTTTTTCACCTATACCCCACCCACTTAATGAATTAATGAAATTTCCTGAAATTAAATTTTGTCTCTCTTCATATTTATATTAGTTAAATGCAGCAGTCCTTGGAGAATTTAAATCACCATTTTTTTTTCAAACAGTTACTGATTTACCGAAATTTTTATCTGAATCGTAAAATAAAAAATGCAATCAAACTAAGACATTATTTAGTTAGAAAGGGTTTTGATGTGGACCCAAAGTTGGGACCACGGAAAGGAAACACGGAACACGGATTAGAGGTAGGAAAGATATATTAAACAAAAAGGTTACAAAGATAGTGTAAGTGTAAGCAGAGCTTACTATGTGCTAGTGTCCAATATTGGTAGTCGTACGCGGCTGATACTACGGTATTAGAATACTCTCTCTCTCTCTCTCTTCCTCCTCCTCTTGATCCTAGAGTATTATATCGCATACTTTATATAGTCCTGGAAGAGTCCATGTTGTAGGTATGTTACGGTCTCACAACAGGTTTTTAATTGCTTTTATAAATAAGATATATTAAGGCACTATTCTCCACCAAAACAATTCGATGACTAATAGTTTTTACAAGATTTGTTTTCATTTCTTTTACATTTTAATTAGAATAACTTATTAAGTATTAAATATTTTTTAAATCTTTTAAAATTGTGTATTAATTTAACTCTTTTAGATGATTTTATTATTAAGGGAAAACTACATTTAACATTGAAAACAGAGGGATGTGTTTCTATACTTTGAAAAAGTGTGTGTTCTCTGCATAAATTTGACGAGTTTATGTATTTACGACATAAAAAATATATGTGGAAAAACATTTGAAAATTGAAATAAAAAAAAGCTGGACAGTTTTTCATCAGGGCTTAATACCTAGGTTAATGATACAAGTCATTGCTAGCGGAAGAATTCATTAATTGTCATTTCTCGAATAATGGCTTCTGACAAATTTGACTGAGGTACTAAGAACGATAATTATCAAACAAACCATGAGATTTTCACTAGATGATTGCGCTTACGCCCACATCACGTTGAAACACCGGTCCCTGTAGGATCACCGAAGTTAAGCAACGTTGAGTCTCGTCAGTATCAAGATGGGTGGCCGCTATGGAATACCAGGTGCTGTAAGCTTGGATGTGCGGGTGGTATAATGTTTAATAGCGCGAAATTGTTAATCGAAAAGCCAAATTGCAACTTCCGTTCGATTCGTTGTATTAACTTATGTGCAAATACCATTGTGAAAGGTATGAATCCACCTCTCCCACCAACTATGGGTTAATTAATAATAATTGTAACACTAAGCCATTAATGCTTAAAATCTAAAATATTTTCAGTCTTTAGATGGCCTGTGGGGAGTTGGTGATCCTCAGAAAACGAATCAATCAACACTCACTCTAGAAGATTCATCATTATACGTCAAGATCAGTTTAACACACAAACGCGCACACTCACACACATATGTGTGTGTGTTTGTGAATAAAAGTTATATTGTTGCACGATTCATAAATATTAAGTACTTTGTTTGAAAAAGACTGCTCGCCTTTAAACGCATTAATCGACAATGTGTTTTGTTATTAATGATTATTTAATTTATATATATATATATATATATATATATATATATATATATATATATTAGCAAGGAGAGTATGTCTAGAAAACGGGAAGTCAAAATGGCTACAATTGAAAGAAAAGAAGAAAAAACAGAAAAAGCGAGAAAAGATTAAGGAGTGAATGTAACGTGAAAAAGAAACGACGAAAAATGAGAGAAAACACATTCTTCAGGTACACACAGACTGCGCATGGGTACAGCTGCGCGATGCACACAGACATATGCAGACGCACACGTATACTGTGAACAAAAAACCTTGCACCAATGAAAAGTGCATATAAAAAAGAAAAATCGAGAAGTATTAGCAGTCTTACTGATACCCTTCTGACGTGTGGACGGTGCGATTACCGGAGTGTCCGTCTACGAAAGTTGGCATGCTGAAGGTAACATCAACCAGCTGTGACAAATCTTCTAACCTTTTACTTGTAATAATTCTCTCTCTCTCTTTATATATATATATATATATATATATATATGTAAAACTGTTCTAGTAAATGTTGACTGAGGAGAAATTAGTGATAGTTGAATTAATAAATGTATATATATATGCTTGCATAAAAAATATTCTTAACTGTTAATATTTTCAGCACATTGTCTATCTCCCATTTCGCGTAATGTTTTCTTTATTCTCATATAAATTCTTTCTTTGATTTCTAACATTAAAGCACATTTTTCCTTATTATATATATATATATATAGGCCTTTGACACTGTGAATCGAGAGGCTCTTTGGCAAGTCTTGAGGAAACTCGGCATCCCAGAAAACATTCTAAAGGTCATCATCTCCTTTCATGAAGGAATGAAAGCTAATATCGTGTCTGATGGTATGATGTCGGAATCCTTTAATGTCACAAATGGCACCAAGCAAGGTTGTGTCATGGCCCCTGTCCTTTTTGCCCTTTTCTTCTCAGTGATGCTGAAATATGCATTTGCAGACACAGAGAGTGGTGTCAATTTTCAGTTTCGAACAACTGGTGGTCTCTTCAATCATCAGCGCTTCAAAGCCAAGACCCACCTTTGTACACAAATTATTCGTGATTTGTTGTTTGCTGCTGCTGCTGCTCTTGTAGCGACATCCTTTGAGGAGGCCCAACATCTAATAAATCGTTTCTCTGTTTCATGTAAAGCCTTTGATTTTACACTTAGCATAAAGAAAACTGCAGTTGTCCACCAACCTTGTCCTACTCCGACCAGACCATTGAAAGTAGAAGACAAAGCCCTAAACTATGAAAAATCTTTCACCTATCCTGGTAACAAAGTCAACTACAGTGGAACTTTAGATGATGAAATCATGCATCGGATTGCTAAGGCTACCAGTGCTTTCGGCAAAATTTGACATCGCTTATGGAATGAGCGGAGTATTCGACTGGATACGAAAATTCGGGTTTACAGAGCTGTTGTCCTTGCCATCCTTTTGTATGGCTCAGAGTCATGGACTCCATACAAGTACCATATACGTTAGCTGGATGTTTTGCATAAAAGCTGTCTGCGTGCAATCTGTGGAGTTAAGCTTCAAGATAGGACATCTAACGTAGACCTGTTTAACATGTGTAATATTGGAGGAATCGAAACTTTTCTCATACAGTCTCAGTTACGGTGGACTGGTCATGTCTTGAGAATGTCTGATGACAGGATACCCAAGGAATGGAGGACGCTGATGGTTAAGATACAAAGACAAGCTGAAGAGCAACTTGTTAGCTGTCAGTATACCACATAACACCTATCAGCACTTAGCCTTGGAGCGGGTAAAATGGAGATCAACGTGTTTTAGTGGACTCAGCAGTTTTCAATCTGCTTTTCAGAATCATCTTCAAGAAGCGAGAGCAAGGTCTAAAAGCTGAGCCAATCTAACAGTGACCTCATCTCACAATCCTCACTCTTGCTCCATATGTTGCGTCCTTTGGAAATCACAAAAGATTATAGCGCAACATTTCATAACTGAATCATTTATTAGTTGCGCCATAACATATATATATATATATATATATATATATATATATATATATATATATATATATATATATTAAAAGGGCTCTGGTGAAATAAATTATTATAATGATACCTAAAGTGGTCTGTTTTTTTTTTAATATATATATATATATATATATATATATATATATATATGTGTGTGTGTGTGTGTGTGTGTGTGTGTGTAAGGAAATATATGGATATCCGATAGTATGAAGAAAATATACTGAAAAAACAAACAAAATTCCTAATATGCGATTATGCTGTTTTAATGTTTAATGACATAAAAGCAATACCAATCCAAACAGGTAACAGAAATCTTTTATAAGATCAGCGTTCCGTTTAATTATGATCACGTCGTCGTCACGTGGGCGATGTTGTGAAAACGTATTCCTAAAATGTCCATCGTCTTTTTCATGTTGAATTGTATATGGTCTATGTTAATTATGTTTTATGAATATGTCCTGAAGATGGTCTATTTGATCGAAACGTCCGACATTGACATCAAACATTATAACAGCATAATTGCATATCAGGATTTTTGTTTGTTTTTTCAGTATATTTTCTTTCATATATATATATATATATATATATATATATATATATATATATATTAAATTAAAATTAAAGTACGTTTGATTTTTTTAATATATTATTATTATTATTGTTATTTTATTTATCTTCAGTTTTACTATTGCTTACTTTATAGAGAAATAACATAATTTGATTATTTATGGGGTAGTCTGTAAGCCATTATTAGGTTGACGAGAAGATCTCATCGTTTTACAGTCGGAATGACTAGATGTAAAGCTGACTTGTGTGTTCAGTCTCCGTGGCCGAGTTGACTAAGGCATTCTGGATCAAATGGTGATTTTCCTTACAAAACGAGACGCAGGTTAGAACCCTATCGGAGATCGCATTTTCTTTAACAAATATTGCCGAATACTCAGTCCGATACTTGTAATGCACAATGTTTAATATAAAAACAGTTTTGTCTATTTAAAATACACGTATCTGCTAAAAATGACGTTTGAATTAATATACGTGCGTGTTTGTGTGTGTCTGTGTGCAGTGTCGTCGACGGTCTCATGGACAAATAATGGTTTTGTCTTTTGCTATATTTATATTCCTGTTGTTATCAATGTCTTGAATAAATTATTGTGCATGAAAACCAACTCCTACACTTTAACGATATGGAGCATTATTTGTAAAAGATTTATTGTTACGGAAACCTCCTGCCATTTTATATTCTGATTCAGTGTGTCCGTATTGTCAAGACAACTTGCCCTTATCAGTAGCCTGCTTCCTGTCTGAAAATTCTCTGACTTTGGATAGATTTCATCGGATTATGGCACTAAGATAAAATCGCTGCGTAATTTTATCGTTCAAAGTTCGACTAGAAGCCTTTCATTGTACACACTTCCGTTGTTGATTTTTAATAGCAATCCAATTATAGATGTTTATCAACTTTTGACGCCTCGTGCTATCATGATCATGATTCTCTTAAGCAATTAGAGTATTAGTTGTGCCATGTGTACTGCAACTATAACATCATTTGGTGTACCTTGGGCAAGATAGACTTCCGGAGACCATACCTCTTCAAGATGGTTTTCAATTCAAAATTATTTTCCTAGACAAGTTGCCAGAAGAAGATTAAAGAACACAGTCTACTTTTTCTTATCCTCAATTGGCTGTCACCAAAAGAAAAGGAAACGAAGCTCAGTCTGCTGTTTAACCCATAGTTGGAGGGGGATTCCTGTCGATCCTCCAAAATGAGAAGGCTTTGTCAGAGCTTGAATTCGGGACGCGATGATTTCACTTTTTGAGCTGATAAAAAATTATTCTACCGGATCATCATCATCATCATCAACAGTCCCATGAGCGGGTGTGGCCGTAAGGTGATTCCGCATATCTAGGTTGAAAGCGTGTCTTTGGCAAGTTGACCTGGCGGAATCCATCCCTCTCCAGCTCAAATCACATACGATGTACTCCAACTTGGTCATTGACACGTGTCTGTTTATTACATCGGGGGGAACGCTCGGCTCGTGCTGTTGACTTCATCGCTGCGATGCAATTGTTCATCCCTCTGGCTACATGCATAGCCACGAAGCCGAATCTGTCCTCTAGATGGCCGTTAATAACGACAAGAAAGTTCATCTGCCCTTTGATTGGCTTGATTTTAATTATAATAGAATCTATTAAATTTAATATATTACAAATGACAGATTAAATAGAGATAAACTGGTGTCGCCAAAAATAGAGACTGGTTGGTTTCCCCGTCCCCCCCCCAACTTAAAGAAATAGATTTAGCAAAACGTACCTTGTGTAATATTAATATAATATATAATAAGATGGGCCACCAGGAACCTCTTCCCGTCACTGTCAAACAGAATAAAATGGCGGGGTTTGAACACGTTACAATGCACGACAGCCTGTGCATGACCATTATGTAAGGCATCGTTGAAGATGGACGTAGGAGAGGACGACAACGCAAAAAAATGGTCGGAAAAGGCCAAACAAAGGACAGGTATGACTACACCAGAATCTCTG